TTCTTTACTTTGTCGCCCACATTTTTATTTAGCAGCACATTTGACGCTTTGGCAATTTACGTAAAATTTTACGAGGCTCTATTGTAAAATTTGCCATGCACATTTTATGGCTTTGTTGGTCAAAACATTTCAACCTGCACCATAAAAATGAAACCGAACCAAACAAATCGCTTTACATAAATAAATAAATAGAATGTGCCTGCAGGAGGCGTGGAGCGACAATCAATAACAATACCAACAACTGCAAGAACAATTGCGATAGTAAAAAAAAGCATGTAAGCCATGTTTTAACATGCATAAAATTCTCATGAAATATTGAAATTGTTCGAATGCGCTCCAACAATTAAAATAGATTATTATAATAATATTTATAGGTATCAAGAATCCAAATAAATGTAATACTCACCGAATACCGACAATAAATATTTTTACAAAATAACCAGATATTCAATTCAACATTTTGAAATGGGTATATATCGCCAGGCAGATAGTTTAACGATAACTGGACGAAAGTGTTGCGTGTTAATATTGGGTTTTTGGCTTTCATGAAGTTATTCAGTTCTCTTTGCTGCACGCCGGATGTTAAGAAAGCGATAGATAGACGATAGCATGCGGCTAAACAAAATCCATAAGGAAATGTTACATCTTTCAGTAAAGAATAAATCGCTTCAAAGGAAATACATTCCAGACGCTTGTCCGCCTTAAAAGTGCGAAATTTTAAATTATTAAATTATAATTGCCGTTCATGGACAATTTTCAGAGTTCGGGGAATAGGCCGACTCGTTTTGCATTAATATTGCCATCACTTATCAAGGGAATTGAACTCTGTCGCTCTTACTGCTATTATACACATATCACTGTCTCTTTCCATAAGACATATCAGCGACAGTTTTGCATATGAAAAAGTTATTGTTATAACAACTTTTTGACAGCTACATGAATTTTTCGTTAATACTTTACAGTTGCTTTTTTCAACAAACAATACCCATTAAATTTATAAAAAAGAGAGTGTGCATTATTGTACACAAACGGAGATAAGACTTTAAAATATATTTTATATATTGCTAAATATCAGACTTTAAGCCCGCCTCGAAGTGCTAATCCATGCCTTTTCGCCCGAGCTATTCGAATTTTACAAGATATCTGATATTCGATAACTTATTATTTTATTGTTGCTGTCTTTGTAGGGCATTATTCGTATTCGCTTTTTCATGTGTACTTCGGTTTTTCAGCTTGGATTTTGTTTCGCATTTACTCTGTGTTTATGTATGTAAGGATGTGTGTGTGTGTGTGTATGTGTGTGTGTCTGAAATGCAATGCAAATACTCTACAAACGAATGGTTTTATTACTTGTATAAGCTAGTTGACTGGTTTTGCCACAAACATTCATTAATGTTAAGAAAACTCCTCAACTCTTCAAACAATTGAAATATTAATAACATCAAAAACAATTATGATGTTCATTGGCTGTCCCTTCCGACAGTTCCTTCAGCAGACATCGACGGTTGCTCTGACTGCAGCTGAATTTGCACATTTAACTGACTTGCTTACAAAATACGAAGCTGATGAATTAGTTATTATGGTAATTGATGAGTTAACTGAGAATGTAACCAAGCATATATCCAAATTGATGTCTGTTGAATTGATTGACACTACAGCTCGAGTTATAAGACTGGTTGTAGCTGAAAATATAATTGACTCTATACCTGAATTTCCATTTGGATTCATAGTAAAAACTGTCTTACTAGAGATAGCATAGGCACTAAAAAAAATATATGCCAAAACTCAATTGGCTGAAACTTATCTAAACTACGTGAAGAAACTTTGTTGCTTTGCAAAAGGTTAAGAAATCAGTATTCCTTTCTGTTGTCAGTGTAGAAGATTCAATCAGTTAATTATCATATAAAACTGTTGCGACTCTGTAACTTCAAGTCCCCCTTGCCATTTTTTAAAGTTGTTACATTCAAACTTGAAATAATGGCCATCGATATGTCCATATGGCATATACAGCTTATTACATGAATATGCGATTTATAAAAGTAAGCTGACAATGCATACCACATACTACGATATATTTCAACAGTTCTTTCTGCCAGCAACGGCTGTAAAGAAGATTGTTTCATATACTATAATATAAAAAAATTTCTTTTTGGTATGCGTTATCTTTGCAGCGCATCAAAAAGTCTCAATTGTTGTGAATATTTGTATGATTTTGGTCTGCGCCTGAAAGTATGCCACATTGCATTCACCAATCGACTGGCCAGCGATTCATATACTTGCCATTTTCAATAAACAGACGCCGAGCCATTGCCTTCCTATCTGCGATTCCGATTCCGATTCCCTCTCTTTGCTGCTGTAGCTGTTGCTTTTGTTGCTTTTGTTGTGATTGTTGTTGTTTCTGTTGTTGTTGCAGGCGCTCAAAAACAATCAAATATGGAAATTTCGGTCCAGCCAAAGCAGCTTGAAAATGGGTAGGCGAGGTTTTTGCGGCACACACACACACACACACGTGCACACACAGACCATAATCCGCATATGCCCACAATATGGGTGAAGCCGGCAAATGTCGTCTGTCCGACGCGCTGGCTGCTCCAATGTCGTTGCCATATCCGACTGCGACCAGTCGTCCCGCCAGTTGCATATTTCTGGCAAATTCCAATGGCAAGATAACTATTTTCGATTGCGCATTTCTGTTCGTTGGGGCGGAAATATTTCAATTGTGACGCTGACTTGTAATTTTTCATGAACACGAGCAGAGAAAAGGGCTCACTATATGGTAAAGTGTGGTGGAAAATGGGTGGAAAAGCCGGCTAGGCAACTGACACTCTTAATGCACACACACACACACACACACACACACACACACACACACACACACACACACTCACACACCACACACATGCTGGGAGCAATTGTTGTATTTGGCTCCTTTTTTTTGGCTCATCACTGCAAGTGTATTTACAAAGTATGTGTGCGTGTGTGTATTGTGTGTGTGCACAATTTTTTGTGTGCAAACACACACGCACACATATATACCAACAGCAACACAAACGCATAGGAACAAATGCAGTAAACCGCAAATGTTTGTTACTCCATTACGTTTGTAACATTCTGGATGTGTGTGTGTGTGTGTGTGTGTGTGTGAGTGCGTGTGTGTGTGTGCATGCTCTCGGCGAGTATATTTGGTGTAGCATGACTGGGTCCTATCAGGGCTACCCCATTGGGCATAAGTTTTGTCTGCTCGCCCATTGTAAAGCTACCACAACTGTGCAGCAAATCTCAATCGCTTTAATTTTTAGCCTAATTCCCATTTTATACTCTTAAGCTCATTCCGTAACGAGTAAGAGGTTCTAGTCGGGAGCTCCCGACTAGGGGATACCCTAACCCTCTTCTTCCAACATCAAATACATAATTTTATTCTATTTTGGCAGCTATATGTCAGCTCTTATTATTTACCAAAATTGCCCAAAAAACAGGATATCGACATTTTTTATCAATTTTTATCGATTGCTTGGAAGCGGAGTAAGTTATCGATAATCGGAAACAAACAAACGGACGGACGGATAGACAGACAGACGGACATGGATAGATCGACTCGGCTATTGATGCTGATCAAGAATATATATACTTGAAGGGGTCGGAGATGCTTCCTTCTGCCTATTTCATATATTTGGATTTTGCACAAATACAATATACCCTTTTTACCCATTTTTAATGGGTTCAGGGTATAAATATTCAACTGCAATTACAGTTAAGAGCTATATCGAAATTTGGCTTTAATGCGTACAAATGTTTCGCATTTACTTTATCAAATTAAATTAAATTTAATTTTGCCTATGGATAAACTTCTTTTAATACGAATAACCTAGCTCCCCTCCATTTTGTAAACGAATGCGAATATAGATCTTAATAGTAATAGCTTAAATATATATTTATATATAGTAACTAGCGAGTATTGCCCAATCTTGTCGGTAGAGCTTTTTATGCTAAAAATTGTAACACATATTCATTAAGTTCTTATGTAGAGCTCTGAAAATAAGTTTGAGGCAAATCAAACAAAACTTAATACTTAGCCCAAAAAATCATTGAATTAAATTTTCCACTGAGGAAACTTGGATTCTGCGAAAAGTGTCAAACAAGTCTCAAATGAATTTTCACTTAGATCTTTGAAAATGAGTTAGAGGCCGATCGGACTTACAATTTTTCCACACATGCAGGTGAAATTCCCCGAAACCCCGTCTTAACGTGCACCTTCATCACATTACACCAATCAGTCAGTCAATCAGTCAGTCAGCCAGTGTGTCAGTCAATCAGTCAGTCAGTCAGTGTGCCAGTACAAACTGTGTTATACTTATATATAGAAATAATAACTATTTACAGTACATTTAATTTATATTAAATTAGCTTAATTTAATTAGTTTCTACCGCGTACGTTTGTGTGCAAGCATACAATAGTGTACAATACAAGTAATTAATTGAATAACTAATTTTATTATATTTTATGATACAATTATTTCACCGTTATCTAACTAAGTAGTTTCCTTAAAGTAATTTATATGTTATATAGGTATTATTTTATTTAGAACTTTTTTAAAATGTTCCTTTATTTGATTTACTTTTTTAGGCACTGGGGATAAGTTTAATTCATTTTTAATTGTTTACATTTAAAGCATTTAGAGAACTAAGAGCTTTATTTAAAATTTGTGGAAATTGCCAGCCTTTCTGTTTCGGCCTATCAACTTTTCAATTATTTCCAAAATTCTTTGTAGAATATCATTTTAGACGTTGGTTTCTGGTTTTCCCAGTGTTGAGAAACGGATAAAAGGCTGAGATGTCAGAGCCTTAAACATTAAAACTATGCCTGGACAAAGATGTGCAGTAAAAATAAATTAATTTGAAATTCTGGCTCGTGCAGCTAAAATAAGAGCCTTGCGTCATCGTTCACATGAGTTAAAAGGCACATTTGCCCCAGCCTCTATTTAACTATAGGAAATAAATTGTTTAGTGGTAACATTCATTTGTTTAATGAACTAGTGAAAGTGATCTCAATTGTATTTATCAAGACTACACATTTATGACGCTTAGGACAACAACAATTACGATTAGGATAACTACATATCATACAAACTATAATCATCACATTATGGCACAAATGTATGGTCGTAAATAGTAAAAAGTTAAAATATGTATGCACTGCTCAGCTTAGTCTAACACACAGTTTTTAGGATTGTACAGCTTTCGAATTGTAAGAATGAGACATGATTTAGCTATAAGACAAAAACAAAAAATGTCATAATAGTTATTGATGATCAGGCATCACACACTTAAACCGTGACTCACGCAATTAAACGCCTCGCGACCGCCGATTTAGCACGACAACGTCGACTGCTTGCACCGCTGTAGCTACTACCATAGCCACTCGCACCACCGCCGCCGGCGCCATCTCCATTGAGCGTAGTCGTCGTGTGTGGTGCATAGAGACTGATGTTGTTGCGGGCGTGCCGATGGCGATAGCGATAGCCCGTGATTAACTCACGCACCGTCTTCCGATACTTGTCGGAGAGGACACAATATAAGAAAAAATTGGCAGCTGCATTGATGGCAACCAGCAGATTGCATACATTTCCGGCAATCCTTTGTATGTTCATTTCGATTTCCACATACTGCACCAGTATCAAATAGATGGCCCAAGGCAGCTGGCACACAATGAAAAGGAGCACCACCGCAATCAGCGTGATGGTCACCCGATTCTCCTGCGATACGCTGCCCGTTATACCAGAGTTGGACTTACGCTAAAAAATGGAAATGCGTCCAGTAGGATTAACTGTTATGAGCAGGATTAGTTCTTAAGTGGGCGGCTCCGTGTTACCTTGGTACGCCTGATGCTGCTGGCGTTGGTTAGATCCCCACGAAGGCTCTTTGAGCGGTGCACAAGCAGAATGAGAAAACAGTTGAAGGTTGCCAGCACAAAGAGCGGCAGCACCACAAATACAATTAATGTGTACACACTCCAGATATTAAAGTACAGCGCATTTTGGCCCAGACTCGATAGCCCATTTGTATAGACAGTCATCTAAATGCGGACAAGCTTGTAAAAATAATCTAATTCCCACATACTCTTAATATTATATTAGCTGGAATTAGTCGTCGGCACTCTGAACACGATATTTAACGATCAAACCTCCCTCGTAGTCAGCAAGTCTATTAGTCGAAACTATTGACTACGACTATGACATAACCCAACAAATCATATAAAATCCTACCTTCAAAAGGAACAAGATTATTCTACACAAGATGACATCAAGACATTTTCGATCAAACGGTCGAGGTCTATCTGAGAGCTATAGAAATTAAAAACCTCTATACTTCATAGGCAGATCAAGTTCATCAGAATTTTTTTTTCAAAATCAAGAGCTAGAGATACCAAATTTGGTATGCACTCACATATCCAGAAGCTTTAAATTAACATACTTTATAAATCCCTGCCCCGTTCCATCGAAATTGTATAAATAACTCAATTTTGGAGGTAAAGCTTTGAGCATTAGTATTTACGCACATTCGAATACCATATTTATGCCCTCGAAATTTTATAAAGATCAGACAAAGAACACCGAAGATCTTAAAGGACGCATTTCCCAAAGTGTGGTCCTGAGGGAAGATAAAGCTTTGACGCTGCGTTAAGAGCACACGTGAGCTTGTGTGCGTGAATGTAAGGAAATAACCTGTTGTATTGGTGCTAAGCACAGGGTATTTCACCGTCAGGTACTGCCGACTAAGGTACTCTAACTCGTTTTTCTTTGTTCGCTTACATTTTGACAGTATTCCGTTATGTTAAATGCGAATGCGCTATTATTGTTGTAGTTGTAATTGTTGTTAGAGCTGGCCTCGCTGTCGTAGTTGTCCTCGCTGCGTCTGGCACGTGACAACTGCAGCAAGCTCGCAGTGGCCGCCGCTGTTGCCGGCTCGGTGGCTGCGGCTGTCACGCCCACCGAGGCGGACGTGGATGCTGGTAACCGGTGCTGCCTGCTTGGAATGTGGTCTTTCAAAGGGACAGTGAGAGATAGAACGAGTAAGAGAGAGAGAGAGAGAGAGAGAGAGAGGGAGATATAGAAAGAAACTTACTTAATGAAAGTATTTAAAGGACAAGCAGAATTTCAGGTAACTTTACTCACCTGACTCGCCAGCGCCGCTTCCGCTGCCGCTGCTTAAATCGAAGGGCTCCAGATACCGAGGCGTGGCAGCATTGTTCGCATGCTCATCTACATGCCATGCGGTCGCCAGGGTGGGCTGGGCCGGTGTGGGCGACACATTTGCCAGCGTCAGATTGCAGGGCCTATAGGCGCCATCAATCAATTTCCAATTGATGTCATATGTGTGCTCGAACGCCGTCGAGAGCGTGGTCAACAGGCAGAAGAGCGCGACGGCTGTCAAAACAATACAAAGGCTGGCTCAATGCTTGTCCATGTGCGGGAGCAGCATCACATCCATCGGATGGCCACTCACCTGCTATTACCTTCTTGGCCAGCGACTCAGTGCAGAATGTTTGTCTTTTGAGCGGATAGCGTATAGCTATAAATCGCTCGATGGTGAAGCACACGGCTATGTAAATTGAGATGTACGCTGTGTATGTGTGTGTGCGTGTGTGAAATTGAACCAGTTCGAACAAGCCAATATCAGTATACTGTTGTTGAACATGAACGCGTACAATCGAGCTATTAATAATGCCCCACACCTCCCTCCCTCCCAGGCCACATCAGACCAAACTACTTTTGCAAACTCGTGCCAGAATAAATTAAATGGTCTGTCAGTTAAGTAAAATGCTACAAATGTAACAGTTCATTCCATAAGCTCGTATTAGCTTTGGAAAAAGTGTATCCATACTTTTACCGAAAACACTCTGTTTGATTAACGAGAATTACACTTGCTTTAATATCGTTTCCTGTTCTAGACTATTCTTATTTAGATGCTTTTTCCTACTTATTTTCTGTTTTTTTATTCGCCTTCTTTTCTTTATTTTCTACTTATTTTCTACTGGCTTTTGTCAATAGCTCAATTTTGTCTAATTGCTTGTCCCGTCTTTGGTGTGCTTTTCAATCGCGTTCTCTTGGATTCTGCACTTAACATCCTTTTTAACCAACCTTGCATTTTATGTCACGGAGTCAGAAAAATTTGTATAATTTTTTAGGTTCACTTTAAATGAACTAAAATGAGATTAACTTATAACTGAATGAACTTAATCAATCTATATTATCGGATTTATTTCAAATGTCGTCGGACATCAAAACATACCATATAATATCATTATTCAGTTCGGATTAATATGACAGTGCCATATTATCATTCGTATTAAACCACACCCCAATAACTTTACCAATATTTGTTGTTAATCACTTATATATAAAAATATGCATAAGTCTGCTTTACAATTTTATAGAGTTCCTAATATTTTCTTTACTCCTATAATTAAATATATTCAAATAAATATTTTAGTTCAGTAAAATCTCATCAATTCCTGTATCATATTCTAACTTTCCCGTGGTTCTTCTCCCACATAAAGGATTTTTTTTTTTAAATATTTTAATTTGTACTTACCACATGCATCGCATAGCCACATTATAAAGCCATATAGTCGCCAATATAGCTCGCAATGATATTTAATATATTCGTAGTGTTTGAGTGATAAAATTAATACAAAGGTCAGGTACGCAATATCCGTAATTGCCAGAGCCGATAGATAAATATTTGTAGTGCACCTCATGCGCTTCCTAAAAAGTATAAAAATAATATTGTTAAAAAAAAAAAACATTCAAACAAAATAAATAAAAATATGTATGCAAATCGTTTGTTTGCGTATGCAAATCAGGCCCACAGCCGTTAGGAAGATGCAATGTAACTGAACCAAATGCAACAATAATTGAATAACGAAATTGTAGGGCAGCCAAGGGCTAGCCTGGTCAAAAAGAAAAATCTGGCAAATGCATGCAAATGTCGGCAAGGTCATAAAACCAAACGAATGCACAATAAAACCTAACTGTTCATATTTAGTTGTTGGCAATTGTGTTGTTTGACCTGAAGCTAGGGTTGAACGACGTCGCCCGTTGAATACGCTAACACAACTTAGCAACACTGCTGCCTTACGTAGCTGTCAGCTATGAGAGCTTAAAGTGTTGCAAAGGGATACATATATAAGCTGCGCAAATACGCGAACGAATATTGCTCTACATAACTTTCAGCTATGATAATATAAAGTGTTCGAAAGGATATGTTTATAAGTTCATAGATGAGCTCTAAGCTTATAAGCAGCAGAAATATAGCTTACAGTCGCCCTTACATCTGTAATAGTCTATACTATGAGCTTACATAGCAATGAGCTTTTGTCTCGGGTATATACAGGACCATTTAGTGATCTACTAACTATATTTGGAAACATATTTACTGCAATTGGCTTATATAGCAATAAGCGGTCGTATTGTATAAAGCTTTCACCTGTATCAAAGATTTCCCTGCAAGTTAAATTAGAAAACTATTATAACTTTCTTATTTTACTGGGCAATTGTTAAGCTAAGAATATTATGGCATTTCTACGGCATTCGGCTTTTGTGCATACAGCGCCTTGCATTGTCGCATATTTTCAACCATTAAAAGGGTAAGTCCATGGCCCGCCCACCTCGACTAATGCGGCCAGTGAGCCCTTATCTGGGAACCGTTAGCATTTGGCACGTGAAATTGTTGCTTTTGCTATTATAATTGTTGTTGTTGTTGTTGTTGTTGTTGTTGTTGCCGTTGTTGTTGTTGCTGGCATTTTGGGAAATGAAATGATTTTAGAGTGCCAGCTAGATGGCAACAATTAAATGCCCTGTGTAATGTGCTGCGTACCTGTTTGCAGTTTTTGGCCGTGCAACACGCAACATAAACATAAAATGCATAAAATGCACCCACATACACACACTGAGACTGACACACTTACGCACCCGTACCCGCACTCTGCTCCATTCGAATCAAGTTGGCCGTTCGGCTATAATCCATGCAACAGCAAAACAGCAAAAACAGTTTGTGGCAGCAACACCAATGGCAACAGCAACGGCAACGGCAACGGCAGCAGCAACAGCAACAGCATCGCATACAAGTGCACTTACCGCGTCAAAACATAAATGCTCACTGAATTTCCCAATAGTCCAATAACAAAAACGCACGGCACCAAAATGCGTTGCACAACGTGCCGCACTTCCGCCACATCCGCATCCGAAAACATTTTCGCAGTGCCAATGCCATCCACTGGCATCGCTGTTGACGTCGACGTCGCTGCCAGCGTCGTCATGCCTGTGACGCTGCTCGTCTGCGCCGTTCTAGTTGTCGCTGGCGCCGCTGCAGCTGCAGCGCAGCTGCCCCTCCAGGGGGCGTACAGGGGCTGTTGGGCACTTGTATTTCTTGATTCCCGATACCGATTGCAGTTCCGCTCTCAATGCCGATTCCAATTGCACTTTGGTTAGCAGCTGCCACGCGCACACACCCACTGGAAAGAGTTCGAAAAATACAGAAACTGATAATTAAAAAATCAAATTCCAGTTAATTCATCGAACCAGGCTGAAAACATAATTGCAAAAAGTCAATAGACCTCCACACATACATATATACAAAGGTATATTCGTAGTACACGAATAATAATGCTATTAAAGTCAAGAGTATTTAAACAACTTTAAAAATGTGAAAAATGTATATACTTTCCTATGGGATTTATATAAAGAGAATAAATGTACAGATAATACCACATCTTTAGCAGACGTGAAATTCTGTGAGAACACTTCATAGCTGAGCCATCCTACAATTCATATTTTTTTTTCAAAATATTTTATATTATTCCTGTATATTCACATTCACATCGAGCGATCTCTGAATGGGCTCTCTGAAGAGAGCTCAACATAAGTTAAAACGTGTCGTTATTAATGTGAGCTGATCAAAGGATATCGAGTTCGAATCTTACACTAGGAAGGACTAAGCCGCAGGCCATTATAGCAAATGCTTTAGCATATGCTAATCTGATCATAAAAAGTGATGTAGTGTATTGTTCAAAGTATCGCCTTACTATCTTCTTAGCGATGAAGAAGCGAGACACCTGTAATTCTAAGCAGCGGGTCGTATGTGGGGCGTGTTCTCTTCAAATCGAGAACAATTTGTGACTACTTTTTCTGTATTGCCATGTGTTTGCTCTACTAGCGCTTAGCTCTTGCGATACCTGGTATACCGTTTGCCCGGATTGTCTGTCGTCGTCTCGCGCACGTTTAGAGTCTCGGGGGCTCGATTGACCGTTAAAGGGCACGCGACTATGGCAGAGGCAGGGGCAGCGGCAAACGACTGGTAAAAGTGGAAAATTTGACTTTTTCTGGAGTTGCGCTCGCTTAATGCAACGAATATTGCTTTTGGGTTTGCCACGTACCACATTAACACGCGGCGTTGTTGGAAATGTTGTTATTGTTCTTGTTGCTGTCCATGTTCAAATGCACCACACACACACACACAGACACACACACACAGTGTAAAACACACACACGTACAACAACACGTATTCGCAATATTTGCGAATTTCCGCAGCTATGCTGGATTTTAGAGGAGTGGGTTTTTACGTGGGGGTTGGGTTGTGAATTTGCCACTTTCATTGTTTTTAAAACGCTTTTCAATTTCTTCTTTTTGCTTGGCTTCTGTTGCAGCAAGCAACTGTTGTTGTTGCTGTTCTTGCTGTTGTTTTTCTTCATGTTATTGCTGCAATTGAAGTTTTATTTTACGCGCAATTTGTCTGCTGTGGACCCTGTCGAAGTGGGCGACTGGGAGAGCTCGGGCGCTTGTCCGATAGCATTTCGCCAGCAATATACAAAAGCAAAAGCCAAAAACCGAAATTGAAAACCAAATAAATAAGTGCATTTGGGTGTCTATCTGTATGTGCCTGGGCGTGTGTGTGTCTGTGTGTGTAAAGTGTAAAGTGCAAATCGAAAAGTAATTCAAGACAAATAGCCGAGTGGCAGTTGCAAAATCTGCAACAATTTCAAGACAAGAATCCAAATAAAAGATATATAACCTTTAACCAACCACCCCCATACACACATACACACACACACATGCACAAGTACTCTTCTTGACGTCCTTGAGGCCGCTGCCGCCTCTCTGGCACCCGACCTGCATTGAATCAATGCCAATCCATGCGGGTCCCATAAATCATTTGGAGCCAAGATGGAAGCTTCCGATATAACCGATGATTAGCGAGCAATAAAACGGACGCTACAGTTTTTGCCTCCGCTTTCTGTAAACCGAGGCAATACACCAGCCAAATTATAAAGTAACAAGCCATCCGAGCAGCCAGCGAATATGCAACTTAATGGACGCACAAGATATATGGCAAAAAAATGTCTTTAAAATTAAGCTAACGATGATCTAAACGCGTTTGGCTGCAAAGGATTTCAAGCAAAGCACATTAAAAGATTCCGATAAATTTCATTGTAGACATCAAAATGAATGTGAATAAAGAAAATAACAAAGAATAATATAACAACGGCACGCCGAAGATTAAATATCCCTGTAGGCATATGGCGAAAAAACACATTGGTCGACCTATTCCTCTTATACCTCATCCTCTTCATCCTCGAGAGCTGTACAGAAGTCCGATGTAGCTCATATGTATGTTGCATAGTAGAACTTAAGGTCAAGGTATATTGAATACAAAAAAGGTCTTAATCAAAAACTGATTAAATTGCAGCTATAAATAATAGGGGGTGCTCCGGCCTATTTCGATATAGATATAGCCTGTTACTCTGGCTTGTACGGAAATAGACAGACTGGCATGGTTTTACCGACTCAGCTATTGATACTGATCAAAAATATGTATAATTAATGAGATCCTAGACGTATAATAACATGTCCTGCATAAACATCTAACAAGTTTCTAGGCATGGCTTTAACCAAATTCATTAATAAATAGGTTACATTCTTAGGTCAATCAACCACAAGTAGAAGAAATAAAGCTAAAAACAGCTAAATTCATTTGAAGAAGAAGAAAGATACCTTTTTTTTTAATTTCATTAATTTTATTATGAATTTATTATGATTCTAAGTCAAAAAAAAATGTTGACCCTACATTTTAGAAAAATTCCCCAAAAAGACAAAATCTTTCTAACATTGCTTTTCTAAAAAATTAATTTATTGTGAAAGAAAGAAAAATTTGCCCACTATTTCTGTTTCTTTGTAATTAAGGAAAAAGGCTTATTCCAAAATGTAAAATTATAAATTGAAATATTAAATGTTTGATTGGTCACAAAAATGCGAACATATCGAAAAATTACGTATACGCACCGCTCAAGCTCATTAGCCATGTGATTCGACAATTTGGTATTGTGGTCTTGTCTCGTCTTTTAGGCCAGGCAGAGACTTGGCTATCAATGTAAGAACGCATGAATGAATATGAAAGTTATGCTTAAACGGCACCACAAACACCCAGGGGCGATGGGCAATGCAGCTGTGCCGGCCGGGGGCTGGGGCATGCCAATGGAAAGCAGCCGCATTGCTTGGCTGTGCTGTTTAGAATTCTGTTGCTGTAACTGTTGCAGCTGCAGCTGCAACCGCATGGCCCACTCACAGACAAAGTCGCATTGTTGTTTATTATTTTTTTGGATCTTCTCCGTTTTTTTTTTTTTTTTCTTTTTATTATTTTGAGCTGCCATACCACGACAGCAACAACAAACGACAGGCGGCCATTTTTCGTGCGCTCCCACGCTCTGTGCCTAACTCTGTGTATGTCATTCAGGCGGGAGACAACAAAAGACGCCTAAATTAGCACACACACACAGAGAGAGAGAGAAAGAGAGAGAGAGAGAGCGAGAGAGAAGCACACACACACACCCGCGGGCACGCGGTTTTCAGCTACGTGCGAAAAAATGTAGAGACCAGAACTGAAGGAAAGCGCAGAATTGTCAGCTTTTCATACCCTTGCAGAAGGTACCATAATTTTTGTCACAGCTTTTTCAACGTCAAGTGAATCCAAAAATATAATAAAAAGTGGATATACTCTGGCCCTGCCCGTGGCACGTATAAAATAAATTATCTTTCAAAATCTTTTGTATTTATTTAATTTGTATGTATAGCTTTGAATATAAGTTTGATGCAAATCGAACAAAACTTGAAGCTTCACCAAAAAAAAAATCTTAAATCGCACTTTGCTCCGAAGTAACTTTGATTTTGCGAAAAATGTAGGACACTTTTCAAATGATATTTCATATAAATCCTTACCACCAAGGAGGAATGTATTTTTGGAAAAGTGTGAAACATTCCTCAAATGAAGTGGTTAAAAGATCTTTGAAAATGAGTTTGAGGCCAATCGGTTGATATACAAAAAAGTTGCATACAGTGTTTCGATTTTAACACACATGCCAGTGAAATTTTCCGAAACGCCATCTTAACGTGCACCTTCATCACATAAGTTAGCTACAGTGAAAATTTCAATTTCCTCGCTTGTGAGGACAAACAGTTTTATATATAGAGATGTATTGTCTTTAAAAAAATCAATTAACGTTACAATTAAAAAGAATTGGAATATTATAGGTTTTGAAAGGTGTCTTGAGTTTTATTCACGATCTCCAATAAACGTCACGATTTAGGCAAAAGCGTTTGAACATAGGCTCCCTAAATCAAAAAGTTGGTATTCGTTTTGTGTTTAGTTATACCCGAAAAGGGTATTTAATATTCGGCATGCCGCTGATATTTGTGCTTGCTTGTTTATATATGTCGTCGCTGGCAGGCCGCGTTCCAGTTAGGTTTTTTTTTTTCTTTTTTTTTTGTTGTGCCCGAGATGCAACTAATTTTTGCATAATTAGTGAGAGGCTCAGTGGTTACAGCAACAACAACCTGCAACAACTACAACGTGCAACAGCAACAACGAGTCAAGTAGCTGTGCCATTTTCTCAAGCTAAGACCAACGCACGTCGCTGCTTTCCCATCTAATTGGCTGGCAACTCGGAAACTTTAAATTGTCTAGCTGGTTAGGTGCTTTAAAAGTGGTCTTCCCTCGCCCGATAAGCCCGCATTTAAGCATCGTTTAAGGCAAACTTTAAATTTTAAACTAAATTGTACCCCAGACAAGTTGGACTCGACTTTGCTGAAATCCACGTAGCGGCTTTTGAGCTTTTTCTCATATTTCTGTATACCCTGCGCCGCTGAAAGTGGTTAAGCTGGACATGTGGTTTCTGTGCAACAGTATGACCCAGCTACTAGTGTTGCATAACGATCTAATAGTCTCATTATAGATAGTTTTGACAGCCGTCAAATTCTATACTTTGCGTGGTACGTTAAAGTCAGAATCGTTACAGCGAAACCATCTAAAATTAGGATATACCTCGTTTCACGGTTTCCAGCCTTGTATTCCATATTAATGAATCCAAGAATTTATATTTAACAAGGTTTTGTAATGTAGTATTCAGGATATCTATAATAGTTGAACGTATTTGGCTCGGTATAGATTTTCATTCGTCATTTTTTATTCAACTGCTGTTTACGGTTTGGCTTGCGATAAATAAACTATTGAAATTTGGGTTTCAAAGCGGCTCGCTTACCAACAGGCTTACCATCTAAGGGATGTTTGCATTTATTACATTTATATTTATTTTTGACTTTTCGATCACAGATGCAGATATACCTTGACTTTCTCGTCTTCGCAGTGTCATAAGGCGCAGCGTTAAGGACTTACAGAACAACAAAAAAAAAAAAAAAAAAAAAAAAAAAAAAAAAAAAAATAGAAAAGAAAATGATGCAAAAACCAGGCGAAGTTACATACTGTTTGTTTGAAAAAGACTGACTAAATGGAATGGACCGACTCGACGGCCGTCCGACCGGCTGGCTGGCTTCCTGGGAACCTAGTCAGATTGCTCGAAATGATACGCCTGTAACTATTTGACTTTATCTTGTTGCTGCTCCGTGTACACACAGAGACAGTCAAAAGGGGGGAAATGGCAAAGCAGCTGCACACGATAAACAAAACTCTACACAGACACACCGAAAAGGAAAGCACAAGTAAGAATGCTTAAAAAGTATACCCTGTACTTAAAGATGCTACAGGTCTGTGCTTTATACTTATTAACAAAAACAAGATTTCTACAAAGCTAATCTAATATCTTACTAAAAGCGACTTGATCATCATTTAAGTGGCTTACAAAATAACAATATCTTAGCAAACTCTACTTGATGGAACTCAAGGAAAATATTTAAATAATTATAATCTCATTTTCAGAATATTCTTTGCTCGCAATAAATTCAAGCTTACTTGCTTGGAAACGTTTGCCATAAAAGAAGTAGCTGAGCTACTGTGGCAGCATATCCTGCTGAAATACTTATATAGGTTATGCCAACAGAGTATGGGTGTTCAGGTATTTGTGAGTTTGATTTAAAAATGCAGGCTCCCATCGCTGCGGCAAAGGACACAGAATAGACGTTAGCGGGCAACTAGACCTGGTCACAATCAACCTGGGCACAGACACTGACAGCATATCAACTTCAACTTCAACTGGAACGTTCTTTGGCTGTGTGGCTAAATTGCATTTCGCTCAAGGTGCGGCCAGGCAGCGTTTATAAGTGCCTAGTTGTGCGGATCGCCGTCCTTTATAAATTGGGTGACAAGTGCAGTAGGTGCTATGGTTGTCATAGGTGCTGTAGGAGTTACAGTCGCCTGGATGGACCCTGTCCATGGCCATTGCCATAAAATTTAAACAAGTTATTTATGCACATGCGTTGCGTGCTTGAAGCCCGTTTCAGTTACAGCTGGCGTCGAGCATCAGGACAATCAGGACATACTCTCCACACACACAAAAACACCCAAACACACACACACACACACACTAACTCCACTCGCACAGAAACGAACTGCTGAACGTTACGTCAGAGTCGTCGACAACGCCTGCTTTGGCCTTAAGTTATCAACATGGAATGCAATTTTCCAAACTGTCTATTTTCTATGCAAATTCGCATACATTTCAGGGCGCTGCGCTTTGCTCGGCTGCTGCTCCTCTGTTGGCACCCAAAGCTTGCCCGTACCCGCTGCCCCCCTCACCAAGGTGCAGACAGACGGCGGCTGAGCTAAAAAAAAAAAACCCAGTGTTTCAGTCGACAGCTTACGCTGTTAGATACCCTGTTTGCAGTGCTTGATAACTTCAAAATGGTGGACACAATTGTTGCTCTAATGAGGTGTGTGGACATGGCAAAGATAGCCAATGTCATAATTTCCGTAATGAAATTGAAGGTCCTTAAATAATCATAATAGCATAAGTTCAAGATAGTAAAGGTTGACTCACATTTTCCTTGGTCGCGAAATGGGATGAAATTTGATCTAATGATCTGTCGAAAATTGATCTAGAATTTAACAAAAAATAAAGCTTTAGACAAGGTTGAAAAATGCCTGGTAATTATTATATTGGTAATTAATTATAATATCCATATGAGAGGATTCCAAAAACTGCATAAAGTATATTAAATTAATTGGTAAATCAAACGTAAACGATTATAAAATAATTATCATATGCGAACGCAGCATAAATCTACCCACTTTCACGTTGGGAACAGAGTTTAGAAAAGATGCGTTGCACAAACATGCAAACTAAATGTGTTGCATAGTTTAGGGCGCGCACATACAGCACCCAACCCAAATACATTTGCCCTTTGGGTGTGTTTGCCTATGTGTGTATATGTTTGGGTGTGCAGCAACATATTAACTTGATATATAAGTACTTAGCAAGCAAATATATATTAAAAAATGCTTACGACAGATTTTTTATTCAGCTTCAGCATTGAAATGCATTTTAAGTTCTTTTGGGCAGCAACTGGCATCGATTTTTTTTTATTTCTCTCTGCCGCAATTTAAGTGTCGTAAAATTACGCAACCGTTTTCAGTGCGAGCAGCGATTAAAGCTCATTTTTTATTGGCTAGTAAAATTGTTTTAATGGCCAAGCGCATAAAGCAAGCACCTGTAGGTCTTAGATATAGCTGTGCATGCCCGCAGAGCTCACATTCAATATATGACTAGAAACTAGAATTAAAAACTCATCAAATGACAAATTTAAAGACTATAACCTGGGCTCATATGCATTATGACAAAATGAAAAGTTAAATAACATATATTCAAAAAATCGCAGCAAATCAAAACAACTTTTCTTAACTAGAACAGTTCGTTAAATGAAAGTTACTGTTCGAGTTGAATAAATTGGAATTACTTTGGCCAAAAAAGCTTTAGATAATTCTCAAATTAAGCCAGAAATGATTTAAGTCCGATTCATGACAGCAAAAGTATTCGACACATAAAGCTATAAACTAGAAGCATAGAATCATATAAAATGGGCCGTTTAAAACAGATTAGACCGAAGAGTTTATTAAAGAGATTTAGCTAAGTGTTTCATTGTCTTGAGCTAAGTCATCGTTTTGAGCAGACCCGCCCAGAAACCCTTTGTGGCTGATTCGCATATATTTAACTATGACTCGTTCTGAGGTCCATCAGCTGCTCATTTGAATATCGCACTCCAATCCCACTATTCCTAAATACTAAAAGTCAAGATTTGGCAAAAATAACTTAAGAAATACAACAAAAAATATAACAAGCATTGTTGTTGTTTTAACAAATTCAAAAGTGCAAATTGTATTTCATTGATTTCAAAACAAAAAAGGCTTTGCGATCATTAAAATAGGTTTTGTGGAAGTAGATACGCTTGTATGTAATTACCATTAAATAAAAATCTTTAAGACACAGCTAATTTTAAAAAATGTTTATACAAACAGTTTTTTTTATAATCGATAATAGAATAGAATTGAGTGACAATAAATAAATACTTAAGGCTGTGCTAAGAAAGTTTCTGAAGCAAGCCCCTACAATGTGCTACATGCCTTGCCTCTGGCCCCATTTTACCTTGCCCAGAGAAAAGGAAGCCGACTGGCTATTAAAGTTAATTGTTTTTAATGCATGTACGCTCTGATTAAAGACATTTTCAGCTTTGTAGCCAAAATAGAACAAAAAAAAGAAGCATATTTAACAACTGGAGTTTTTACAACCCATGTTTGCCATGGCCCGTACTGGCTAATCATTTCACACACATGCCCATGCAGTGGGCTGTTGGGCAATTGTGTCTGGCTGGCATTTGTTGTTGTCCGGTCGCTGATTGATGCACCATTGATGAGTGCCAGAGGCACGGGCAGTGCTGCCCTTTTACAGTCTAGCCACATGTTGTTGCTATCCACTGCTATGAAAAAGCAAATGAGCGACACTTTGAGCGTTGCATTTGATTAACACGTTGTGTAAACTGTTGGCCAGTTGATGCGCCAACGTCATTGAGTAACGATAGGGGAACAATGAGCAGCAGGGGGATAGCAGGCAAATGGGGGCATGTTGATGCCCCACTCTGTGGGTCACTGGGTTGCATTAACATTTAGCGAAACGCGATGCAGCTGCGGCCACACCAAAGTAGTTGTTGACTACCCAAGCACTTTGTGTGTTCCCGCCTGCGTATGAAAGTGTTTGTGTGTGTATGGGTGCGTGTGTGTGTGTGCGTTTATGTGCTGTCCTGACATTGACAAATAGTGTGCGAAATACAATGCAGGCGTACACGCACATAGCCTGGGGCGCCCCCACGCTTGTTGGCACCAAATGTGTTGCATACTTGCGGGCGCAAATTATTGCTGGAAAAGCAGCATCGCCAGTTGGCTAATTAACAAAGCACTTTGCAAGGCAACAGCAGCAACAGGAGCAACGGCAATGTGAAAACGCGAATCCAGCCCGTAGATGCAATAAGCAGCCGAAGCCTTTAGGGAACGCGGCGTCGCGGCTTAAACAAGTCTTCTGCCTGTTGCGGCTTGCTGCCGCTGCAACACCTACGCATTAATTAAATTTTATAGCATGTGTGTGGGTGTGGGTGTGTGTGTGTGTGCGTCTATGTGCGTTTGCGTGTGTGAAATATTAACACATGACACAGCAAGCGGCAAATTGCAAGCGCATCGCATAATTTGCAGCGAACCGCCGCCGGCGACGACAACGTTTAGGATTCGTCGTATGTAAAATGCGCCGGCTACCCGCTGACTGTCACCTGCCATCTGCCGCCTGCCGCCTGCCACCTGCCACCTGCCACCTGCCACCTGCCACCTGCCACCTGCCACCTGCCACCTGCCACCTGCCACCTGCCACATGTGGTTGCTTGGCAGCCTGAGTTGCTTACAGCTGCGTAACGGAATTTGCCAGGCAATGTGACCAAACTCTCTGTGGAGAGTAGTGTTCGGTGTTGCTACAAACACCGTTTAGTTTAATTCCACAAGTTTCGATGAAAAATATTTAAACTCTCTTATGCTTAATTATGCTTAATTCGTACACTATTTACTTTCCTATTTATTTGACCTTGAGATATATTCATATTCGAATCATATGCCAAACGAATCGCAAAGAAAACCAGAAACAAACTTCAAATTAAGCCAGAAAGTTGGCACGAACCGTGAACATAAGCAATAACGTTTTTTTGTTCTGTAGTGTTGTTAGGTTAGATCGAGCGCTGATAATGTGAGAGCGCAGTGTAGCTTTTCAGTAATTATCAATAAATTGATAATTGATACAGCAGTTCGAATATATCAAATTAATTATTATTAATTAATTATTACAACTCCAGATGTTCTTTTTTACATAACAAACCAAAATATATTTAGTTTTGCAAGTAAACATTGAATAATATTCGCTAAGGGCCACGCCTTGTTGAGTGAACTTTTAGGAACTAGGTGTGTTAGACTTTAAAGTGGCTTTGGTAATTTAATTTGTTTCTTTTCTCATCCCGAAATGATCATATTAACCAGTCGAATATTAATCCTTATTTAAGCCAGTTGCCAATTAGTTGACGCTAGAAGAGGAATAGAGAGTGCCCTCCTAGTGCAAAGGGTTCAGCACACGGACGGAACGGAAAATGTGACTCAAATTGGACAAAGAAGTCAAAGCTGCTGCTGCTGCAGCAGCAGTGAAAACAAATTAAAAGCAAAACGCTAAAAAACAAAAGAACGAAAATTTAACAATTTCGCAACTCTAATCTGCACAGCAATAAAACGAAAACGATACAAGGAAAACTCCGCGCCATCACAAAAACCGTCACGAAAATGCTCAGACAGCAAACTATGGGTATAGAGTGTTGCACGTATATATGTGTTGTGTATGTTGCGTGTGTGTGAGTGTATGTGTGTGTGTAGCTGTGAGCTTGCCCCCTTTGTTACCAACTATACGTTGCGTTTATTTAGAAAGTTATTTTCACGCCAGACGCCGCTCAGGCAAGTTCGTGTCTTGCCTTGTCCAAAAAAAAAAAAGTGGGAAAAAAATGTTAAAAAACAAAAAAGTAACTAAAAATAAGCGCTGGCAAATAAAAACATTGTTGCACATGTTTTGTGCCAGCAGGGTTCTCATTCCTATTCTCATATCGCGCACAGTAGAGAAAACAACATTGTTACCGACCTTGTTTCGTGTGCGTTGCTCGAAACAGTGGCAACACTGTCGCTCAGCTTGCAACTAATGCTTATGCCGCCATCAGAAGCATGCACAGACATTTATTAAGCATTCATTTAAGCAAGTAAGGCCCCTACTAGGCCGGGTAATATACGCAGCGTATGTTTTACAAATGTGGGCCATATTTATTTCATTTCATGATAACTTTTACTGCTACAAATCAAACAAAAATTATTGTTAAATATCGCCTTACTATGCGATTCTCATGTATTTAAGTAGAACTTACAGACTTTCATTGTTTACAATTATAAAGAACCTTAACAAGCTGCGTTGGTAATCTAATAAGCCCATTCTTGCTCAAGTTGACTTTTCCTTTCTCTGTCTTTCTCCCTCTCTCTCTCTTTCTCTCTCTACTATCCCTTCTTTAATCGTACTTAATCCAACCCACACTTTACTTCCTTGTGTATTTGAAAAAATTGCTCATCTTGCTGATAGATTTGCGCGTGTACGTCATTCGCTTAGTGCATAACTACATATGCAGAAAGATAATTCAATCTCTTCAGATGCTCAACGAATCGAAAAACAAATATAATACACATTTATCTTACAGGTGCATGTACTTATAAATATTGGTATATTCGCATTCAAGTTCTAAACAATGGCAAAACACATGTTTCCCTATTAACTTAATTGCATTAAATACATTTCTGTTGTCTTTTTTTCTTTATCTGCTGTGTTTATCATGCCATTGTCATGATATTCCATTTTCTTCACTTGCTGTGATAATAGATACAAAATTACAAGCACAATTTCAAAAATAAAACCTTGATGTACATTTTAGCAAGCTGTTCTTTTAAATAAATACTGTTGTTATATAAGAAGCAATTGTTTGTAGAAGAG